GGTGCAGCGCAAGGCAACATCAGCAAGGCGACGAGACTACAAGGCACGCAAGCAAGTAAGGGACGCGGAAGGCCAGCAGGGCAAGCAGACGAGCAACTCGGCAACCGTGCAGTGAAGCACCTGTCTCTTATACACATCTAGATGTGTATAAGAGACAGGTCCTATAGAAACCATAAAACAAAAAAAAAAAAAAAAAAAAAAAATCAAAAAAAAAATCTAAAAAAATCTAAAGAAAATCTAACACAAAAAACCCTAAAGGAAATCTAAAAAGAAAAGAAAAGAAAAAAAGAAAAAAAATAATACTTACCTTACTGTAGAAAAACGGTCGCCCGTTTTCACGGGCGACTAGCGAGTGCACTGGGGCTGAAGTGCCCTGGTCACTATTTAAGGCGCCAAGTGGTGCTCCACGTTCAACGTAGTTTAGTTTTTAGTTTTTTTTTTTTCTTTTTCTCGTTGGCTTATGCCAACGGTCACATCACCAGTCGCGTGGCTTTTCAGCCACGCATCTCAGTGATGCAGACTCGAGTTCAAGTCCTCATGAACTTTCTCTTTCTTGTTTTTTTTTTTTTTTAAAAAATAAAAATAAATGGGTCATTTCTCGACTTATGCGTGTTATCCTTGAAAGAGCAGGGGCCATGCTGATCGCGCAACACGATCTCGATCGTGCGATCTTTGAGATCGCGCGGTCGATATCGACCGCACGATTCAGTTGCGACAGTGGCTGCTCCCAAAAAGAGCTATGCCCAGTAGGGCGTGGCGGTCGATCCTTGTACCTGTCGGTTGAGAGTCGAGTACTGTAACCTACTAGGCTAGCTCCTATCACGATAGTGATAGGAGTAGCTCTTCTATAAGAAGAGCTTGCCCAGTTGTTATATCCCCTGTCGCGGCCTTGCAGACCCTGCCTGCCTGAGGCTTTGCAGATCTCGCCTGCTTGAGGCTCAACATGCGTCACTTACAGGCCCTACCCCGTCGGTTAGCCGCATGACCACGACTTAACTGGTCGCCTAACTGAGTAGGCCTCGACATCGGTTTGTCGACCCCCTAGCTTGATGTTAAACCCCGCGGACCCGGGAAATAAAAAAATATTCCTGTTCCTCCCTCGTCAAAGCCCCATACTCGGCTCATCCCTCTTTTTAGCTTAGCAGCCACGCGTCATTATTTTAGGTAAGATAGGTCTAGCTTTAGTGATCCCGCGTTCGCATACCTCTTCAGCTTCGACAAAAGCAAAGCATTGCCAATTACAGTCACTACTCTTGGACGCCACAAGCGTCCGAACTAAAGCTTGAAAACTTTTAGTCTCTAAGTTATAGGTCAACTCTGAAAAAACTTTTGGCAACCGCTAGTCTCAGCAAGTCCTTCAACTCAACGAAAGAGTCGAACAACGTCCGACGTTTAAAATCCTCATCAAATACCCTTATCAGGGTATTTGCCCCGACAACGTGATCTTCCCCTTCAAAAAAGCTAGCGACGAATTTTCGTTCCATCTCTTCAGCCTTATCCATGATCTGTTTCATGGTGTGATTAATGAGGGGAAACTGTTTTCGCAGCTTGGCTCGCATCGCATGGCTCCTAAGCCCATCAATAAACAAATCTTTCCCGACCTTCTCATCTCACTCAAATTTTACGAAAAGTCTGTAAAATCGGCTACGATATTCGACGATGGACTCAAGGGTTTCTGCACTCGGTCTTTGATAATGAAGAACGCTTCTTCCGGGCGGATGTAATTGAATTGGTGCAAAAATTCCCTTTCAAATGTTGGCAGATATATCCAAAGGTAGGTACCTGTGTAACACGCCGTACGTCGTACGGGGCTCTGGTCGTATGACCATATGAATGGTCCCGTACAAAGTGAGAACCCCCCCCCCAAAAAAAAACGAAAAAAATAAAATAAAAAAATATATGGATGTAGAGTTTTTCATCCTCTACACCCCCATATTTTTTATTTTATTTTTTAGTTTTTTATGTTTAAAAAAAATAAAAATAATCAAAACGGGAAAATAAAATAAAATAAAGAAATAAAATTGATTGATTGATTGATTGATTGATTGATTGTCGATTGATTGATTGCTTGTTGATTGATTGAATGCTTGCTTGCTTGATTGATTGATTGATTGATGGATTGATTAAAAAAAAAAGAAAAACTTGCGCGCAATACTCTCTCTCTCTCTCTCTCTCTCTCTCTCTCTCTCTCTCTCTCTCTCTCTCTCTCTCTCTCTCTCTCTTTGTTTGTCTCTAAACGCGCGCGCACACGCGAAAGAGAGAAAGAGAGCGAGTGTGTGTGTGTGCGTGTGTGTATGCATGTGCGTGTGAGTGTGTGTGTGTGTGTGTGTG